ATTGAGGGAAAAGAATATATGTGATCACTACTGAACTAAATTATTGGCAGAACCCACTTATTAAAGAACGTTACAGCTATTAATTAATTTAATAAGTCTATCTTTGATTTAGTTAGGCTCTAGGGTGACTCTAAACTGGCCCCCTATATCTTTGTATTTTGATTACTTCCTGAATCTGCCGTTGCAAGCAAGCCAGTCGTTTCTCTTTGTTGTCCAATTGAAAGAAATTTATGGGAATCACTTTGCAATAATAATATTTCTTCTTGTATGGGATACTCTCGAAAGTCTATTAGTTAAAAAATGACAGACATAAACATTTAGGTGCCGACAGTTGTGTAAATGTTGTGAAACAAATATGTAATTATGCAGCAGGATGAAGTAGTTCAATAGTAGTGTATGTTAATCAACCTGCGAGTAATTTATGTTGTTCTGTAGAGTTCTCCGAAGCTGAATAGTGAAATCTGAATTTAATGAAGATGTGTTTTTCGAATTTCAGGGATCTAATGTGCATCCGTGAGAGTCTCTACCTCGTTAGACTTTCAAGAATTTCAGTTACGAGTGTTGGATAGAGATACCTAACGAGAAAACTATGAAACTAAATCGCTATCCTCTATGTATAATGTATAATTGTGTATAGCGAATTGCTCGGTAATACGATATATCCATAAGTAAAGAATTGGGCGGATCGACTACTCCTAAGGCCTCGCTCATCAATTATTTTTCGATTAATTAATTTAGTCCCACACATTCATTCTAACAGTCTAAGTAAGAATAGCTGGGAATCAAGTTGGAAGATGATAGTAGCCCGCTTTCATGACGGGGAAAAGGGGAGAAAAAAATATAGGAGAAGGAGGAAAAAGGACAATTTTTCAGATATTATAACAGAGAGCGCGTAGTATACATATACGTTCAATTCCGATGATTTTGTGAATGCGTGTGTGTGCAATTCCGTTAGATTAAATTTTTCTTCGTCTACCAGTCTAATGGAAAGATACTGCATAATAAACACACGATTTTTCCCCATTATCACTGAATGAAATTACAAATAGGATGATTAATGCATATAATCGTCGTCATTAAATATTTTTGCTGATAGAATTTAATTCCGCACGATGGTATTCCTCGGCGATCGGTAAAAAAATGACTCATCCGATTAAAATTTCATCCGCCTTTCAATATATTTCATTATTTATTCTTCTTTCTGAATGAGATATTTTATTTTTTTTTTTTTT